ACCCATTGATCCACTCCTTCTGGTACCTCCCCCACAAATTGTCAAAATTTTTAATATTAGTAAATCCAATATCAGGCGAATGGAATGTTCGATTTGAACCAAACCTTGCACAACCTATTGTCTTTACCAAGCCTAGATCAAGTTTGAAGATGGGACCCACTGGTCCACTCTATCGGGTACCTCCCCCACAGAGGGTCAAAATTTTCAATATTTTTTATACAAATATTAAGCTAATGGAATGTCCGTTTTGAACCAAACCTTGCACAACCTATTATCTTTACCAACCCTAGATCAAGTAGGAAGATGGGACCCATTGGTCCACTCCTTCTGGTACCTGCCCCACAAATGGTCAAAATTTTCAATATTTGTAAACCCAATATCAGGCGAATGGAAGGTCCGATGTGAACCAAACATTGCACAGCTCATTATCCTTACGAAGTCTAGGTTAAGTCCGAAGATGGAACCCATTGATCCACTCCTTCTGGTATATCCCCCACAAATTGTCAAAATTTTTAATATTAGTAAATCCAATATCAGGCGAATGGAATATTTGAACCAAACCTTGCACAACCTATTGTCTTTTGATAAAAACAAGTTCATATATAAACCCATTATAAAATCGGGTACCTAGAGGGTCAAAATTTTCCGTAGATTTTATTAAAATATTTTTGTTATAGCAGGCCTGGATTTTTATATAAAATATTTTTGTAGAGGCCTATATGAGGCGTGGATTTTTATATAAAATATTTTTGTAGAGGCCTATATGAGGCGTGGATTTTTATATAAAATATTTTTGTAGAGGCCTATATGAGGCGTGGATTTTTATATAAAATATTTTTGTAGAGGCCTATATGAGGCGTGGATTTTTATATAAAATATTTTTGTAGAGGCCTATATGAGGCGTGGATTTTTATATAAAATATTTTTGTAGAGGCCTATAGCAAGGCGTATTTTTATATAAAATATTTTTGTAGAGGCCTATGAGGCGATTTTTATATAAAATTTTTATATAAAATATTTTTGTTGAGGCCTATATGAGGCGTGGATTTTTATATAAAATATTTTTTTTGAGGCGTGGATTTTTATATAAAATATTTTTGTAGAGGCCTATATGAGGCGTGGATTTTTATATAAAATATTTTTGTAGAGGCCTATATGAGGCGTGGATTTTTATATAAAATATTTTTGTAGAGGCCTATATGAGGCGTGGATTTTTATATAAAATATTTTTGTAGAGGCCTATATGATGCGTGGATTTTTATATAAAATATTTTTGTAGAGGCCTATATGAGGCGTGGATTTTTATATAAAATATTTTTGTAGAGGCCTATATGAGGCGTGGATTTTTATATAAAATATTTTTGTAGAGGCCTATATGAGGCGTGGATTTTTATATAAAATATTTAAGTTTCGCTTAAATCCGCATAGTTTGTGACGTATACACAAACAACCGGCACGTTCCAATATCTTGAAATTTCCAAATCATTCCTCCATCTAAACTCGCTCGCTTATTATTTGAGTTCATTATTTAAAGAGAAGAAAAGAGTGAACAGAGATATTGGTAATTGATCGTCACGATCTACTGGATTATAGGCAATTCGTAGATCAATACAAAGAAATCGTTTGTTTGTTCGGTTGTCCGTCCATCCACTCGTTCATTTGAGAAAAACCCCAAACAATAAAATCAATGGTTAAAATGATTTGAACTAAAACAACAACAAACAACACAAATGGCTGGTTGGTGATCAAGACAATCTTAATTTAAAAAAAAAAATGACAATGAGGTAAAAAACCCAAAAAGTAATTTTGTTGGTGGCTTGTAGATTAGTCATAGCGAAGAAAAAGCTGAAAGCTTGAAAAATAAACATATAGAAAACGCAGCTGCAACTTAAAAATATACGAAGGTGTATGCAAGAATTACACACAAACATACGTCACTCTCACAAAAACAAATAGACAAGCTGTCAGAGACAAATCAAATTCTGAGAAAACCCAGAAATACAACCCTTTTCATTGGGAACTATCGAGCCGGTCTTTGAATTTCTGCGTATTTTTTGTTTGAATGGAATGCACAAAGACGTCACAAACTTTGATATAGAAAACGTCACACATCATCGTACATAATGAGGTGAAAGAATGGCAACAACAACAATATCAAGAAAATAATAACCAAACAACATCAGTTACTTTGATACCTAATATGGCTAAGAAAGAAATTCCAGCTATGACTTTGAGAAGAGAATAAGAAGTTAGTTAATTACGAAAGTTTTCAATAAAATAAAAATAGACGGGAAGAAAATTGAGAAAGAACTAAATTAAATTTAACGAATATTTTTTAAGGCCTTGTCTACGGCGTGGGTTTTTTAAAGAATATTTTTTTTCAAGGCCTTAGTCAAGGCGTGGATATATTAAAGAATATTTTTTCAAGGCCTTAGACAAGGCGTGGATTATTTAAAGAATATTTTCTCAAGGCCTTAGACAAGGCGTGGATTATGTAAAGAATATTTTTCAAGGCCCAATCCAAGGCGTGGATTTATTAAAGAATATTTTTTCAAGGATTATTAAAGAATATTTTTTCAAGGATTATTAAAGAATATTTTTTCAAGCCCTTCGAAAAGGCGTGGATTTTTTAAAGAATATTTTTTCATTGCCTTAGACAAGGCGTGGATTTTTTAAAGAATATTTTTTTCATGGCCTTAGACAAGGCGTGGATTTTTTTAAGGAATATTTTTTTTATGGCCTTAGACAAGGCGCGGATTTTTTAAAGGATATTTTTTCATGGCCTTAGACAAGGCGTGGTTTTTTGGAGAATATTTTTTCAAGACCTTATACAAAGCGTGGTTTTTTGAAGAATATTTTTTCAAGGCCTTAGACAAGGCGTGGATTATTTAAAGAATATTTTTTCAAGACCTTATACAAGGCGTGGTTTTTTGAAGAATATTTTCTCATGGCCTTAGACAAGGCGTGGATTTTTTAAAAAATATTTTTTTCATGGCCTTAGACAATGCGTGGATTTTTTAAAAAATATTTTTTTCATGGCTTTAGAAGAGGCGTGGACTATTTAAAGAATATTTTTTCAAGGCCTTTTCTAAGGCTTGGATTATTTAAAGAATATTTTTTCAATGCCTTAGACAAGGCGTGGATTTTTTAAGAATATTTTTTCAATGCCTTAGACAAGGCGTGGATTTTTTTAAGAATATTTTTTCAATGCCTTAGACAAGGTGTGGATTTTTTTAAGAATATGTTTTCAATGCCTTAGACAAGGCGTGGATTTTTTTAAAGAATATTTTTCAATCCGTGATTTTGTCCTTAAGAAAATATTCTTTTTTTTTCTTAAAAAAATCCAAGCACTTGAAAAAATATTCGTAAAAATCCTCGTTTCGCACCCTGAGAATATATTTTTTAAACTTTAACGTCTATATTTCGCATCGTCCTTGAAACAATATTCTTTAAAAATAGCTCCGATGGTCCTTCAGAAGGTATTCTTATATTCAGGATGTTACTTGACATTAGAAAACAGTCAGACTTGTAGCATGGATTAAAAAAACTAGTAAGGAAAGTAGTAAAGTCGGACGCGGTCGACTATATGATGCCCTTTACCACATTTGGTATATTCAACAGATGAATCTTAACAGACGTCGCATTTTTAAAGGACCAGTAAAATGAAATTGGATCCATAAACATGTCATTCTGCAACCGATACTAAATTTTTCATTTGTTCAGATATAGAAGATATATCTAAATCTGAACCGATTTTCAGGAAACTTAAAACACATCATTCTATACCTTATTCATTACGCTGTGCCAAATTTCGTGCAAATCGAGAGATATATAGGGACGTTACATTAAATCAGACGAAAAAATATATGGGAGCTATATCTAAATCAGAACCAATTTTTAGGAAACTTAACACACATCATTCTATACCTAATTCATTACGCTGTGCCAAATTTCGCACAAATCGAAAGATATACAGGGACTTTGGTGATCCACTTACATTAAATCGGACGAAAATATATATGGGAGCTATATCTAAATCTGAACCGTTTTTTCCCAATTCGTCCTTGAGCCAAATAAGTGACCTCTGCCAAATTTCATCCAAATCGGATCATAAACGCGACCTGAACTTTGTTCACAAAAATACATGGACGGACGAACAGACGGACATGCGTAAATCGACTTAGAAAGTGATTCTATGCATATTCTCAAAATTAACCATGTGCCTATCTCGTTTCCTTTTGCCTGTTACAAACATATTTGCACAAAGACATAATACCCTGTACCACAGTGTAGTGAATTTGATGGCCTTTTATGTCCTTAAAAGTCCTTAATATTTATTATATTTAGTTTATTTATATTCTCTCCCAATTATTTTGAAAAATTTTCCATCCATTCATAATTCCTGAATATGACCAAATTTATTTTTCATTGTTTTCCTTTTTTGTCTATTTTCCAGGAACAAGTAAACATAAATCAACATTGGCGTCCATTAATCAACAGAAAGACTTTCAGAGAAAATAGCTCAACTCAACTATAAATCAAACTCTAGAACTGGATAGAAATATTCACCAACAAACACCATTCAGAAGAAGAACAACAACGATACCGACCGACGAAAAACATACACCAATCAACCAACCAACCAACCAACATCCATCCTCCATCCATATTCACTCGTATGGCACTAAACTTCAGCGCCGTGCCGATATAGGATTTTCGGAAACGATTAACAACGTCCTTTATGGTTCATTAATTCGGGCAAAAAGAAGGAGAAAACAAAACAAAAAATCCTTTTCTTCCTTTATGGTGTAACAGGCATACTAACTGATACATCTTCCAAGCAATTTACACCCACACACAGATTCTAACAAGAACAACAACAATAACACCCCAATCAGAAGCAGTGGCCACAAGACAACTTTCCATCAAAAACATTGAAGCAACAACTACTACTACCACTTGTATAACAACAACAACTACTACTACTACGACTGGGAAGAGCAACTGAGAGTCAAGGTGTTGCTACCGTCGTTCTTGTTGTTGTTATTTTTGTTGGCAATCAAGGTCCCGGCGCTGTCATCATGGAGGGGCCAGAGGTGACATTTCTATTCCAATTTGGCAGTGTGCGCGATGCAGTGTCGGTAGCTGCCAATGTTTTAACATTGAAAAAGCTCAAGGATTTGGCATGTGAATTCATCAACACGAAGGTAAGTTTCGCCATCCTTTCTCCGCCCGGATATCTAGGTGTGTGTATGTATGTATGTGTGTATTTTGTAAATAAAGTTGAAATGTTTATATAGCCTTTATGCAGCTATATTTTTTATTTGTGAGATACACACATACATATCTCAATGAAAATTAGTTATGTGTTGGTGTGTGTGTGTATTTGACTTGTCATATCCTTGTTGTAGTGTAAAGGATTGCCTGCCATTGATGTTGCCAACGGTGGCAAAAAAGTCTATTAGTAAACAAAGTTCAAAAGCAAATATTAGCTTATTTGACTTTGTCTTCTTCTGTTACGCCCGTCTGTAACTGCTGTCAAGGGACGGACAACGATGAAGAGGAAAAAATAACAGAAAAGTTAATTACAATAAATATAATATATAATATATGTTCCGCACTATGGTTGTTGATGTGATAATTAGATGCAATGTGAGAAAACTTGGAGTATTTATTGAAAATCGGTTCAGATTTAGATATGGCTCCCAAATATATTTTCGTTCGATTTAAGGTAAATGTTGCGCCAAAGTCCCTAAATATCTTGTGATTTGCACGAAATTTGACATAGCGTACTGAATTAGGGCTATAATGACGTTCCTGAAGTTTCGTGAAAATCGGTTCATTTTTAGATATGGCTCCCATGTATATTTTATTCCGATTTACGGTAAATGGTGCACCAAAGTCCCTAAAAATCTTTAGATTTGCACGAAATTTGGAATAGCGTACTAAATTAAGTCTAGAAAGATGTGTGCTAAATTTTGTGAAAATCGGTTCAGATTTAGATATAGCGTCCGATTTTAGGTAAATAGTGCACCAAAGTCCCTATATATCCTTCGATTTACACGAAATTTGGCATTGCGTACTGAATAAAGTCTAGAGTGATGTGTGTTAAGTTTCATGAAAATCGGTTCAGATTTAAATATAGCTCCCATATATATTTACGTCCGATTTAAGGTAAATGGTGCACCAAAGTCCCTATATATCCTTCGATTTGCACGAAATTTGGCATAGCGTACTGAATTAAGTCTAGAGTGATGTGTGTTAAGTTTCATGAAAATAGGTTCAGATTTAGATATAGCTCCCATATATATTTTCGTCCGATTTTAGGTAAATAGTGCACCAAAGTCCCTAAAAATCCTTCGATTTACACGAAATTTGGCATTGCGTACTGAATTAAGTCTAGAGTGATGTGTGTTAAGTTTCATGAAAATAGGTTCAGATTTAGATATAGCTCCCATATATATTTTCGTCCGATTTTAGGTAAATGGTGCACCAAAGTCCCTATATATCCTTCGATTTACACGAAATTTGGCATTGCGTACTGAATGAAGTCTGGAGTGATGTGTGTTAAGTTTCGCGAAAATCGGTTAAGATTTCGTTACAGCTTCCACATATACATATATATATAGTCGTCCGATTTTACATAAATGGTGCATTAAACTCGTAATGTTTGTCCGATTAATACGAAATTTTGCACAACGTATCAAATTGAGACTTGAATGACCTTATTGCGTTTTGTTGAAATTGGTACAGATGCAGCCATAGCTTCCATATGAATTTCGAACGGGTGTCTGATTAAAATTCAATTTTTAACAGTGCGGCGTATCGAATAACGTGTATCAATTTTGCTATAAATCGTTTTCCATAAATTTTGTCCCATGGTACGCAGACGACTCTAAATCTGCCTGAATTAAATTAAATCAAATTTATCATAGACTGTACTACTTTCCTTACTGGTTTACTCTAAGAATTTCATTGAAAATGTTTCTTCTTGAATTTGCAGGCACAAATTTGTTTTACTCTTAACAAACAAAGCTCTAAACATTTGACATACCCTCCATTTAAGGGTGCCGAACTATTTTAGGTACTGAATGGCTCTATACGTTTTTTTCCTACCGATGTGGCTAGAATTAGGCTTTCCGGTCCCATTTACGCATTTAGTAGATCCGAACAGCATTTCACAACCGGGTTTTCAAAGATTGAAAAACCTCGTGGTAGAAACTTGTAATCAAAATCCCAATGGTTAAAACCTCATTTCCGATTCGAAAAGTCCGAGATCTACTCGACGCATTTAGCGACATTTATGCTAATTAGTAGTACGAAGCTCATTAATATTCCAGTCTTAATATCCTACTGAAAGTGACGCCCAACACAATTCTTTATTTTACCATACCACCCACTCTCTCTCTCTCTAATTTGACAAAACTAATACACTGACGCTTACATTGATAGATATGGGGTTTCCCCCATCTCGAAGTGGTCCCCAAGCAATCGAATGATACCTTTGATGTCAATTCATTTGTAAAATTGTTATCTAGGGGAATTTGCGGTGGTGGCTGTTGTCCTTGTTGCTTGGCATTTCCTATTAAACGCGAATAACTGAAATTAATTTGGAAACCAATATTTTCGTGAATAATGTTTGTCAAATAGAGAGGTAATATGAGGAGTACATTTCATTATAAAATGGCCATGGGGTAATAGAATCATTGGCCAATAATAAATTAGATAGATTTTTATTTCTTTCAAGGAGTCACTTTTAAATATTCATCAATATAAACTACGACGTAATGAAAAACAACAATGAGACATATTTGTCTTTTCGGAATCCTTATATAAACAACGATGATTATTATTTACATTTCTAGAAAATATATTGTTGAGCGGTAGATATAGGTACATGAAGGTTATATAAATAAACTGGGCCTAATCTTTGGTTTGATATAACCTTATACTTGTTTGTAGGCAAATTATAATATAGACTTCATTTCACTTAACCGAACGAGTTAAGTTTTTTTTATTATGTTCCATAAGCCGAGCATAAAAAAATATTTCCAGGCGCGTCTGTCTTGTGCGCAGTAGTTCAAATTTGAAAGATCCTGTTCCGAGATGTTGTTTTCCACTCCATCTTTCCATCGAATTCATGGCCTTCCCCTTCTACCTGAATCATCAGTTGGCTCGCTTTTATATGCCTTTTGTGTTGAGGCATCCTCATTTATTCTCACAACATGACCTAGTTGTGGTCACTACGTCTGACAATGCCGATGTCCTAAATGGCGATATTTACTGTTGACGCAGATCGGCCAATATATCTTTCGGAGGTTTTTTCCTCTCAAACACTCCAAGAGCTGCCTTATCTGCTTGCAAAACTACCCATGCTTCAGATACATACAACAGCATGGGCAGTATCAGTATTTTTGAATTGCTTACTTAGACCATAGTAGCATCTGTTGGCCAACTCTGTTCTTCTCAAGATTTCAAAACAAAATTATCTTTGACTACCTCGAAGCTGTAGTTCTCAACTTCCACAGTTGGTTCGAGTGTACTGGACGTCTTGAGCGTTGATACCATCAGCTTGATCTTCTTGCCATTTACTGCCAGACCGACTTTGGTAGACTCCTTCTCAATTTGTTGAAAGGTGGCTGTTACCGCTCGCAATGTTCGACCCAATATGTCGACTTCATCGGCGTAGGCGAGTATAATGTACTGTTTTTAGTACTGAGTGTCATTTCTGTTCACCTTTGCCTCTAGTATAACCTTTTCCAGCGGGATGTTAAAGATGTATATTTCTTAGGTGTTTTCCATGATTTGGCGCAGGGTGAAAATCTGATCAATTGTGGATTTGCCAGGCCTGAAGCCGCATTGGTATTGTTCAATAATGTCGTTGACCATTGGCTTCAGTCGTTCACACAATATGGATGGATAGCACTTTATATGCGCTGGGAAGGAGACTTATTCCTCTATAGTTGGCACATATCGTCTTGTCTCCTTTTTTGTATACGGGACACAGGATGCTGAGGTTCCAATAGCTGGTGCATGCTGATGACCAGCATCTGCCCACCAGCCTTGAGTAGTTCGTCTGGTAATGCATTTGCACCAGCTGCTTTATTATTCTTCAGCCGATTAATTGTTATTCTGACCTCATCTTGGCTAGGTGTTATACAATCTATATCGTCATCTCTTATTGGTTCTGGGTATCTTCTTCACCCGCCACTATTTGATGCCAGAGGCAAAATGCACCATCCAGATCCATAACACCCTATCTGCATCCATCTTTATCTCTACAGGAGGATGTGCCTGGTGTTTTACTCCTTAGTCCTGACTCATGTACATCTCGATTTGCTCCCGCTCACGTTTTTCTTGTTATTTCTTATTTCTTTTGAAAAATGCGTTTCTCCTCTCAACTTTTCTCCTGATAATTCTTCTCAGGGTAGCCCTATACGCAGCGTTTTTAAACTCAGTAGCATTACGACACCCCTAATGGTACCATGGCTTAAAGGTGGTCTTTGGTACCCAATTGGTGCTTTTGCTGCAGTTTGTAGGGAGTGAGCAAGTCTTTCCCATTGTGATTCTATGTTATTATCGGGAAAGAAGTACTTTCATGAAACAGGTGGGCAAATTGAGTGGAATAGGCCTCTGCTACGACGTCGAGTTTCCGTGTTACATTATATCACATTATATTGCTGGTACATTAAGACGGCCGCGAACCTTGGCTGCCAAAGGGTAATGGTCCGAATCGATATTCGCTCCTCGTAGCGATCGAACGGCTATAACACTGGACGAATGCCTACCGTCTATCACAAGATGATCAATTTGATTTCTCTTTGCTTGATCAGGAGAAATCCAAGTGGCCTTGTGTATATCGAGATGCTTGAATCTTGTGGTGCTTATGTTCTTTAGTGCCGCGAAGTCGATCAACCTCATGCCGTTGTCAGGTGTTTCATCATGTAGGCTGAATTCTCCAGCGGTGGGGCCAAAAATATTTTCCCTTCCGATTTTTACATTAAAATCTCCTAGCAGAATTTTAATGTCACGGCCAGGGCGGCGGTCATATGTTGTTTCTAGACGTTGTATCGTTTTAGCAATAGAAAGTTGTTGGAATTTGGCACTCAGTGTGGCGCTATCGACAACTTCTTTAAAGTACATTTTCAATATCAATGTCCATATTTCTACATAGTTCTCCAATAATTCCAATTTTAGGTGTCTGTAG